GCCTCTGTGTTGTTACTTGGGAGCAGCTTGAGGGACAGAAACTTCTGCCTATAAATGGTGCCCAATGTTCTGGGTCATGTATATCTATATAAATCCTGAGAAAACTTTTTTTAAAAGTTCTAAATGCACAGAAACAGAGTCAAACTCAGCTTCCTAGTCTCATGTGTCTCATGCTGGCAGAAGTAACAAGACATGTATCCGAGCAGCTACCTGTGGGAAGAGAGAGCCAGCTGCCAGCCATCATATACTCCTGCCATGCACTAAGCTAAGCTACATCTGGCATCATCTGACATACAAGTTTAACATCTGTTTAATTTGATCTAAAAACAATACAGTTACACAGTAGATATATTCAGACAGAAAAAAAAACTCTAAATGGGTCACAGTGTGTTTTAAATTTTTCATAGGCTTGGGAAAGAGAAAAAAAGATATAAAATACAGCTTAAGAATAATAAAGTAAGCTCTTGAAAAGGGGAGTAAGTAATATAAAAGAAAAAAGCCACATAAAGATGGGAAATACACAAAGAGTCTGGATCATATGTGTTATTGTGTTGTCTTTAAATTTTTCACTGTTAATAGACACTCGATTAAGGCTGCTGAATTAAACCAACCTATCTATTTTAAAAATATCTTGACTTCAAAAGGAAGTCAAAAGATATGTCATTTTAGGAAAGATGTTCTGGTTTTATTTATTTCCACAGTAAATGAGAGGCTATGGATTCATATCCAAATTAAAGACAAACAGGTTTGATCAAAGAAGACCTGCTGAAATCCTGACTACAGACATAAAGATATCAACCTAGAAAAACTATAAAATATGTAACATATATTTTACCTGATCAAACATAAAACCAAAAAAATCATCTTTGGTTGACAAGTGTACAATGCACAGTCTATACTTGTATTAATACAGGCATGTGCATTACCTTTAAAAGTTTAGGTATTTTTAGAACAAGGAACCAGACACCAATAAAAATGATGCCGACTGAGATGATCCAGCCTCACAGAATACTACAGCCACTATTTAACCATTAACCTGAGTTTTCTCAGGGTCCAAATATTACCAGTGCCCCCAAACAACAGGATTAGTCTAGAGAATGATTCCCACATTCCCAAAATATTGATTATAAATGTCTGTTATCATTTAAGGGGGAGTGGTTACAAGTTGCTATTGATAATGGTCAAAAACCAAAACAAAGATTAGATCTCAGGGATCTCACTCTGAAAAGAAAAAAGGGGAAATAGAAATGATATGATAAAAGGGTAGATTATTGAATCTACTTTTGAATCATTAAAAAACGGTCCTAAATATTTCACATTGATATGAATTTTGGTATGTTGATCAAATTTAAAATTAATCTTGTTATGCTGCATATGTATATTACTATTCTTCTTTGAGGTAATGTGTTCATGCAACTCATTTAAAAGTGTGTAATATATAATTAAGAAATACAAATTACTTGTTATCTATAGTAGTCAAACAGATAGTCATATTAGTCAGGTTGTCAAGGTCATACACCTATGTTTAGATAGATAGATGGTCTTCAAAGACCTACAGAATACGGTATTTACTTTAATAATCTAAGGCTTTTCATCACAAAAAGACACATCTGCTCCTGATAGCACCAATTTACTTCAGAGCAGATAATAGGCATCAGAGAAACTCCATATGGAGTTTGCTTCCTTATGTAAAGGCTAGCCAGTTGGGCAAAAAACAACACTTGCCTCAATTGCTGACAGTGTACCTTCCAAACTGGACCCATAGGATGCAAAAGGAAATGACTGCCAGATTTTGGAAACACAAGGTAGGTTAGTCCTTCAAAATTCCCTGCTTCTCAGAAAAGTAGGTACACTAGACCTATAGGCCAAAGATGGGTGCCCCAACATTACATTACAGAAGAACTTAAGGTGACTGTCCAGGTAGCCAGATTTCCTTGTTGTTAGGTAACATTTCAGCTTTCTGGGGTCTTTGATGGAGTTAAAGACTAGATGGCATAGTTAAAGTTTCCTTAGTTATAATAAAAGATAAATTAGGTATAAAACTTTGTAGTCACAAAGATAAAATAGATAATAGAATATTTTCTCTAGTTTTGCCAAATGCAAATGGACTAGAGATTGTAACTGTAGTTCTTACTTGATAATTATTTCTGTTGTATATAATTTTACTATGTTAAAGTTAAAACCTTCCTTTTTAATTAGGCAAAAAAAGGGAAAATACGAAATATTCTTTTACACTGTGTGAAGATTTGTTGCTGTGATTGGTTAATAAAGAAGCTCAGCGGCCAGTAGCCAACCAGGATAAGGTTAGGTGGTAGACCCCATTTGAGAATGCTGGGAGGAAGAGGGGCAGAGTCAGGAGTCAGGAGCCCGATGCAGAGGAAGCAGGATTATGTACAAATTGAGGTAACAAATGATGAGCCATATGGCAAAGCATAGATAGATAAGAGATATGGGGTAATATAAATGTAAGAATAGCTAATAACAGGCTGAGATATTGGCTAAGCATTTATAATTAAAGTTGTCCTTTGATTTCCACAAGTGTGCCCACATGCCCTCACACATACCTCAAATATAATAAACAGACACACAAATACATTTGTATACTAATAAATGTAATTTTTAAACTTTTATTCATCTCTATTTTACATTGTGGGTTATGTGGGAACACCAGACCTTGAGCAGAGACCCACTTCCCTTTCGGCCTGGGAGTAGGCAGCTGTAAGACAATGTTTACTAAACACATGTTTACTAAAAACAGTACAATGCCCGGGGCAATAAGTTCCTGGAAAAGGCCTGCCCACAGAAACCGCCCTGACCTCGACCTTGTCCAAAGACTAGCCGCCTCTTCTGCCACACCCAGATCAGTTTTTGGTGTCAGAGCAGAACCAGCCAGGGTAGAGGAGAGAGCAGAAGCTTCTCTGGAGGGAACCTTTCTTAGGAAGTTTTCTTGAGCCTTTTTGGGGCCTGCTTAAAGTTTTCTTTGCATCGTTGAACGAGTCTCTGTGTTGTCAATCCCCGACACCCTCCGCACGTTCTCGGACACAGGCCACACAGCAGATGCGACAGGGTTATGCAGTAGGTTGGGTTTTGCAACTTTGTGTCACTTCCCACTTCCCTTCTGCTGATGTCAAGTATAGGTGTATATCTGTGGTGTGAGCAGTTAAAGCATTTAGTAGTGGGGGAGGGTTAGATAGATGTGTATCCATGAAGGAAGATCATGGAAACACCTCTATGTGGGAGACAGGGTGGGAGTATTAACAGGACCTCTTGTGGTTATTTCTCATAGATTTTAACATGTAACTGATAACAGATATTCCCCCATGGGATATATGTCTATTGCTGATGTAATTTTGTAAGCACTTGTTCATTTCCTTGAGTTGCCAAGCTTTAGTGGCAGATGAGAACAAGATGGAGGTGCTGTAAGGACTTAAGAGCAAATGCACAAGCATTTACAGCAGCAAGATACAAATAACCCAGTCCCAACCCCGAAAAAAAATGAGGAAGGATCTGATACAATATTTCCCCAAAGATTTCCAAATTGATAATAAACAGGTAAAGTAATGTTCTATGTCACTGTTTATCAAGGAAAAGGAAACCCAAGTCCTGAGGTGTCATTTCCTACACAGTGAATTAGCTAGAGTTATACAGATGGACAATAATATATGTAGAAATATCAGAGCTCTTGTACTCTGCTGATAGGAAGATGAAATAGTGTCTACAGCTGCTGGAAAACAGTCTAGCAGTTTGTTAAAGGTTATAATAGTTACTACACAGCCTCTACTCATGGCTGTATATGTAAGAGCAATGAGATAATAAGGAAACATTAAAATATATTCCAATGTTCTTGACAACGTTATTCCCCAAAGCAGAAAAAAATGGAAACATCTCACAAGTGCACAAGCTGAGGAGTGGATAAAATGTGGAGTTATGAATCCTTGTTAGAGACAAGCGTGTAGGATAACATTAGGCTAAACCACAGAAACCTCTCTGTCTTTCTCTTTGTGTCTCTCCCTCTCTCTTACACACACACACACACACACACACACACACACACACACACACACACACCAGCTACAGGAAGTATAGATTCTAATTGTAGAACATGTCAGAATTAAAGGAGAAGTAGATGAGTGATTGTTCAGCCTGGGGGGCCAAGGGGCTGGGAGTATGCAGGAATTTGAGAGATGGCCAAAATTGAGTGAGTTAGAAAATGTAAATATTCCAAAATTGATTGGTAATTGGAATGGCTGTTAACTTTATCAAATATACCCAAACCCACTGACCTTTGCATATTAAATACATGAATCACATTATAATAAATGTGATTTATTTTTTGGTAACACAAAAGAAAAAGAAGAAAAAAAATAACCAAACGTTAGATACTCATATTCTCAACCTTATTTCAACTATCCACATTCAGTTAAGAGCCCTTCATTTCCTAATGTGATTTTCTTCTCAAAAATGCCAAAGTTAGCATCCTCAGAAAGGTACCCCTTGCTAAATTTGTTAGATACTTTAAGACTTTGAATAAATATGCATTAAATTTATTAGCTTGCCTGCAATGCCTAAGCCAGAATTTAGATATTGAGTATGAAGTTGTTCAATATTTAGATCTCAAATGTGTGAGATAAATTTTCTCTCTTCACAGCATTCGTAGTGATTTAAGGGGTGGGGACTGCGGAGTGTCCAGAGGGCTGCTGGGCCACTGAGTGTTTCACAAGCACCCTCAGCTTCAGGATACAGAGTGCAAGTTCTGGATAATCTTTTTCTCTTTTTTGTTTTTTCACATGGGGAGTTTATTGGAAGAGAAGAGAAGGGGCAGAAAGGGGGCAGAGAGGGATCTCTGGAAACAAAAGTAGAAGGGAAGCAATCTTTTTAATCTCTCTGTCTCTCTCGGTTTGTGTCTCTCACTGTCTCTGTCTCTCTCTGTCTCCCTCTCCTTCCTCCCTCCCTCCTCCCTTCCTCCCCTTTCCCCCTCCCTCCCCCGTAGTCTAAGCTAGGCTGTAATTCACTATGTAGTTCAGACTGGACTTGAATTTACTGCAATCTCTGCCTCGGCCTTGTGACCGCTGGGGTCACTTGAACCACTGAGACTTGGGACTTGTTTCTTTCCACCAATGTCCCGGAAAGGGATTTCGCTTGCCAGGAAGTTTTGTCTGAGAGGTTCGGAGCCTAAGCAATGGCTCCAGGGTGACTTCTTGGATCCTCCACGTTTCCAGAACTTAGTGAAGACAGGCGGACCAGACTGGGGACATGGACCTATCAGCTGGGCTCCCTGTGCTACTATTGCTGTTGCTGTGGTCCTTGGCTCTGCAGGCGCGGTCGCAGCGTGAGTGCGGGAGGGAAAAGTGGGGGTGTGGGTCACAAAACCGAAAGTGACTTTCTTGGCTCCGGGAACTGGTCACTTCAGAGTGCCAAGGCCGCCCTCCGGGGTCCCTCTTTCTAGCTCTCCCCCTGCAGACCCCTGAGGGGACATCTGTCACACAACTAGCTGCCCAGGGCACATTCCTTCCCTGCTCTAGCAGACTGTCACGGGTCTAGGCACCGGTGTGAGGAGCCTCGTTGACAGAGCTGAGCCTGGGGTCTCAGTCTCCGATCTCCTTTCGCTTTTATTGTGAGCTTTGCTATCCTCTACCACCCCTACTCATCCGCGATCTGAAATTTCTCACCTAGAGCAACCAAAGTCACCTCTTTGGTGTTTCCTCTTCTGGGTGCGGGGAGAGACTCAGATGTTTGCCCTGTGAGTGCTGGAGGTGCTGGGTCGCACCCCATTCTATCAGTTTTTGGAGAGAACAGGAGCCTGAGAGCCAAAGACATTTCCTCTCTCCTGGTAATTGTTCTCTCGTCTAGAAACATTGTTTTTATTACAAAGGGATGTAATAGCGTAAACAAAGATTTAAGGGAAGTAACCAGGACTCTGACAGCCCTTGCGGTTGGTAACAATGTGCCAGGTAAGAAGTCCAGTAAAGAAGAATCAGATCTATTCAGTGTGACCATATTGGGAAGATCAGGTGGCCCAGAGAATGAGTCCATCTTCAGGGTCCTGACATGACATTTAAGGTTAAACAGAAAGCAAAAGTTTCTGGTAAATAGACAGCCATGGATCCTACAATGGAGTCCATAAATTGTTCATCCTGTAATGTAGTCCATAAAGTGTTACATAACTATGTCTTCTGCCTCAAGGTACTGCCTTCACCTCATAGATAATTAGTTACCCTCGTTTGGAGGTGGGGGGAATTCCTGTCCTGAAGCTTTGACATTCCTGTCATCCAGGGAACTTCAGGTATGGGGCAAGGTTATCTTTGTGCATTAAGCCTTGGAAGTGGGCTAGGTAGGTTAAGAAAAAGAGAGTATGGCAGGAGTCTCATGACACAGAGGGCAGGCTGAATGCTAGGCTTCCACACCCTTTCAGTGAGTGTGGGTGAGAGGTCAGTGCCTTTTTGACAGTATCATGTTTTGGGCACCTCCAGAGCAGTGGTTCTCAACCTTCCTAAGACAGCGACCCTTTACTACAGTTCTTCAGGTGGTGGTGATCCCCAGGCATAAAATTATTTTCATTGTTACTTCATAACTGTAATTTTGCTACTGATGTGAATCATGTTAATATCTGATATGGAGGATATCTGATATTTAGATCCCTGTGAAAGGGTCGTTCGACCCCAAGGGGTCTACACTCACAGCTTGAGAACCACTGTTCTAGAGGCCCTTGTTCAGCTGGGCTTTGTTGATTTGCAAATTAACAAAGGATTAACAGGCTTTTTCTGAAGAATGCCAAAGAGCTGCTTAATACACTTCAATAACATTTGGATCTGTGATCCTTTTTGACTAGTTATGCACTGAGAAGCAGCAGTTATTGCTAGTTCACTGGCTCTCACCTTAGATCTTTCCTCAGGTTGAAAAGAAATAATCTTCAAGATGATCTTGCTTTATTTTCATAGCCCCACCCCACCCCCAGGGGTGTCTCCCTATGTAGTTCAGATGGGTGGGAACTCACCTGTGCACACCAGGGTGGCCTCAAAGCTGAGGCAATCCTCCTGCCTCAGTCTCCAGAGTATTAGGGTTAGAAGTAGAAGTGTGAGTGAACCACTGACTCCAGGCCAACAAGTCTTTGTGAAGCGCTAACCCCCAAGCCAGGTGCCATTTGAAGTACTAAAGTTGTGCCCTTGAACATCCCTGCCCTGGAACTGAGAGAAATTTGGGAAAGCCCCATGCTGAGAGTTCCTGTCAGTTTCCTTTCTGGGAACCCCTTCTATTTGCTGACAAGCTGTCCTGAGCTCTGTGGCAGCACACTCTGCAGGGTTTTTCAGCCAACATCTACACATGAAAATGTTCTGAGACGGAAGTAGGGAAAATTCACTTCCTCCAACTCCTTAGGGCTTTCAACTTAACAAACTGAGCAGCAACTCCTTAGCTTGGTCCCCACAGACAGAGAAACCCAAGCACTTTCCGAAGTCTCCCAAGAAGGTGGGCAGAGTAAGAGCAAAAGGCTGTGCTGGGAAGAGAACTGTATCACTCTGCAGAGAGGCTTCCCTCATGTGAGAGCAGCAGCTGACCCAGGGCCTTCTGATCCCACTTGCTGCCCATTCTGAATGCTCACTGACTTCCCCAGGGTCACACTCTCTGTACTACCTCTTCATGGGTGCCTCAGAGACAGAACTTGGACTGCCTTTGTTTGAGGCTATGGGCTATGTGGATGACCAACTCTTCGTGTCCTACAATCATGAGAGTCGACGTGCTGAGCCCCGGGCCCCATGGATCTTGGATCAGACCTCAAGCCAGCTGTGGCTACAGCTGAGTCAGAGCCTGAAAGGGTGGGACCACATGTTCATTGTGGACTTCTGGAATATCATGGACAACTATAACCACAGTAAGGGTATGTGGAGAGGGGGGAGTCACCTCTCTGTGGTGGGCACAGCACTATTGTGCTACTTTGGGGATACATCTTGAAGTAGACAACTGTGGGTGTGAGAACCTGGTGGGGAATAGGAGACACAGAAGAGAGAGAGATTGTTGTCTGCCCCAATGGTTCAATACTTGAGGATGGTGGGGACAACATGTACTTCTTTGTTTCCAGTCACTAAGCTGGGAGTGATGTCGGAGTCCCACATCCTTCAGGTGATCCTGGGCTGTGAGGAGCATGAAGACAACAGTACCAGTGCCATCTGGAAGTATGGGTATGATGGACAAGACCACCTTGAATTCTGCCCCAAGACACTGGACTGGAGAGCAGCAGAGCCAGGGGCTTGGGCCACTAAGGTGGAGTGGGAAGAGCACAAGGTTCGGGCCAGGCAGAACAAGGACTACCTGGAGAGGGACTGTCCTGAGCAGCTGAAGCAGTTCCTGGAGCTGGGGAGAGGACTTCTGAGGCAGCAAGGTATGAGGGACCATACTTAGGACCCACACTCTTGAGTGGGAGTGGAGGGGAATCCAAGGTACCAGGTCAAGTTTCAGCCACTCCCAAATTTTGAGAAAGTACTTTCTCAGTCCTAAGATTTCCATTTTATTTATTTCATTTTTTTTCTTTAGACAAGATCTCATTCTGTAGCCCAGACTGACTAACTCAGTATGTAGCCTAACCTGGGCTCAAATTCTGGAAATCCCCCTGCCTCAGCTTTCCATGTTCTAGGATTACAATCATAAACCACACATGGATAATGCTATTATGACTTTCTTGTTGTTTCTTATTTGTTTGCTTGTTGTTATTTTGTTTTTTAGATGGACTCTCACACTTTAACCTAGGCTGGCCTAGATATCACCATGTAGGTCAGACTAGCCACAGACATAGCAATTTTCCTGCCTCAGCTTCCCAAATCCTTGATTTCAAAGTGTGAACCACCATTTAGGATAGAGGTGTCACTTCATATTGAGCTGTACAACACAGCTATGAACTACAAAATTATTTTCTTCAGCATGTGGCTTGAAAGGAAGCATCCGTACTCTTCTTCTGATGGAGCAACGAATCCTATGTATATTTATTATGTCTTCTAAGAACACAGAAATATCATTATCAGATGAAAATACCAAATAAGGCAACCCATCTGAGCAGCAGAATCCTTTAGCAGTAAAAGATTATTTCCCCAAACTACAGCAGTCTCACTGAGGGCTTCCTCTTACCAAGGCCCTTTCCTACAAGAATGGCTGTTAGGCTCAACCAGATAACAGAGTCCAAGTCAAATGTGCTTTACAGAAAGGGAAATGTCTGCCTGGTCAAAGGGCCTGGGAAATAGGTGTTAAACAGGAGAGCGGACTTGTGGCACTTCATTAGCATCAAATTTTGATGCCATTTTCAAGATACCAAATGGCATCTCCTGCAGCTGGTTTTTCTAAGAAGGGTGTGCTCTTCCTACCACAAAGGAAAGTGAAAATGTCAGTCCTCCTGCCCAGAGTAAAACAAGCTCCTCTCCTTCCTCTTTCCCTCAAGTGCCTCCTTTGGTGAAGGTGACTCATCATTGGGCCCCTGCAGGGACCTCTCTAAGGTGCCAGGCTCTGAACTTCTTCCCTCAGAACATCACTATGAAGTGGCTGAAGGACAACCAGCCACTGGATGCCAAGGATGTCAACCCTGAGGATGTGCTGCCTAATGGGGATGGGACCTATCAGGCCCAGATGACCTTGGCTGTAGCCCCTGGTGATGAGACAAGGTTCACCTGTCGAGTGGAGCACCCAGGCTTGGATCATCCCCTCACTGCCACCTGGGGTAAGGATGGGCATTCAGGGTAGAGACACCTGTCATAGAGATGATTACCTTGGCTGTGAGAGAAAGGTCTGCTCTGGGCGGGATGTGGCAGTCATAGACTTGAATTTGCATTTGCCATTTTAGAGCCCTTGCCATCTCGGGCAATGATTATTGGAGCCATCAGTGGGATCACCGTTTGTGTCTTCTTCTTTGTTGGCATTTTGTTCCTAATCTTAAGGAAAAGGAAGGCTTCAGGTGAGTAGCAGCATGGAGGAAATGTCATGGTACTTTTCCATGGACACATATTCCTGCAGAAAATGAAATTATTGGGAATTCCTCTCTATGCTCTTTTCTTTGAGAGCACTTGATATTTTGTGTTGTTTTGTCTTCCCCAGATAGGAAGTTCCCAATTCAGGAAACACCTTCTAGGCACCTATTATTCTGCAGGTGTTATTTAAGGTAGAGTCAGGGAGTTGAGGTTGAGAAAACCACTGGCCAAGTCTCCGAGCCTAAACCTACTGTGGAATGGAATTTATGACAAGTGCAGCTAAAGAAGACCTCTGAGAATGAAAAGATTTGGGATGTCACTCGAAGAAATGTTCAAATTACATCAAGAAAGATGATGGAAAATAGGTGTGGTAGTTTGTGCCCCTAATGTCAGGAAAACGATTACCAGGAGTTAAAGAGTTGGTTACTTTGTGAGACTCCCTCTTAGAATACACACACACACACACACACACACACACACACACACACACCACAGATAGAACAACCATGCTGAGTAAAAGAATGTATTATTGGACCTTGTCCCTGACTTCATGTGTACCTCACTCATAAATTGCCTCTGTCCTGGTTCTGGTTATCTGTAACATTGGAAAATGAAAGGGAGACAGAAGCCAGGATACACAGTTCTGTAGAACATTATATTATGATGACTGGGGAGATGACAAAGTCACAAAAGCAAAAGGGAACAATGTCTGTGTTTATGAAAAAGTTTGGGGGTGGAGTTAGGTAACAAGGAAAGCAGACAGCTACCAAACAGTGTCATATGAAGAGATGACCATCTCTGAAATCCAGCAGAGTCCCTGGACGAGTATGACCAGGGATAGAGGAAATAGAAAGGGACAGGGCAAGATGATGCTTGGTCAATAATGCCTCTCCCTTGGTGTCTTATCTTCCCAGAAGAAACCATGGGTGACTATGTCTTAGCAGAGTGTGAATGACTTGCAGCCTGCAGACCTATGGAAGGGAGGAGACCCAGCCAAAGACTTGGAGGAACCAACCTTGCTCCATTCTAGGACAGAGTTGGACCTAATACACAGAAAGTGCCTGAGGTACTCTGCTCTTAGCTTTCCCTGTTCACTTTCGTAAGATGTTTCCCCCAGTCAAGTCTTTGAGTTCCTGAACAACAGTGACTGTTCCAGATGCAACCTTTCCCTCCAGAACTGGTCTCATGAATCTCCGCCTGCATCCTGAAACATCCATCATTTCCTCCATCCATCTAGACTTCATATGTCTACTTCTTAAAAAGACTCTCTAAATTTGGAGGATACCCGATTCATTTTCATATCTGAAAAAGTTATGAATATTCTTCCTGGAATGCACACATATACTTGTTCCAGAATTTTGCACACACATCCTAAAATCTAGGAACCACTCAACCATCTTTTGAGCCTCTCCATCTGTTACCTGGTGATTCTTATGTCACCAAACTCTGACTTTTATGACATTGGAGTGTTATATGGTCATCAATACAACTGAGGAGACACCCTCTAAGAAAATACAGATGTCTGTGTATACAATGATGGCTATGTGTTCATGTTTACAAAGGTGTTGGACAGATTAATTTCATGTGCGTTGTTGACATGATGCCTGTGAAGTACCCTCTCTCCTTGCTGGATAATAGAAATCATAAATGATTATAATAATAAAGTGTAGCTTGCACTCGTAAAGAAGTGTTCAATATTATACTCTGCTCTGATCACCTGCTAAACATTGACCCTGACTTGAAAGTCATAATGTTTTCATGAGGTGGAAATTAATATCTGCACCAACATCCTTTTTCTTTAGTTGAGGGAGCTGAAGACGCACACTTCTCCAGAGATACAGACAGACAGACAGACAGACAGACAGCCGTTAGAGTGTCATTGTGACTCTTTGGTGCACCCTGTGCACTGGATTAGTTACATGAAGTGAGGGGAGAAAGGAGATGACTCTTTTCTTGTCTCCTGGGGTTTCCTTTCAGTGAGTTTGACTCATGACATGAGAAATAGCTGTCAACATTCTCCAGCCCCCAGCTACCCTGAGTCCGTTAAATCTCCTGTTTCTTTTGGCATCTTTTAGTTCAGTTTAGTTTTTTAGCTTATCTGACTAATGTCCTTGAAGCTGATGCCTCTGGAGTCAGAACCTTCAAGTGACTGTCCTGGCAGCCAATAGTCTGTTAGCCTTTCTCATCTCATGGAAGTAAAATGGAAGCTGGCAGGTAGAGTTGCTGAGGTCCTGTGCTCATTCATAGTTGTACACAGTAAAGCAAAAAATGTGATTTAACTAGACAATTTAGAAATTACTAGGTTGCAGAAAAGAGGTTCGTCTGTTCATGTTTGTGTAAGTACATCTTCATGTGTGTTTTCATATATGTGTACATGTGTATGTACATGTGTGCGTGGGCACATGTCTCAATCCAGATGGCATGTATTCACTTTCCCCCAATGCACACATTTGCCTGCATGACTGTGCTATAAATTCTATCTTAAAGACCAAGTGCCTCAGACCAACATTTGAGCTGGGACCTCAACTTTCTTTTTTTTTTTTCTTTTTTGATCTTTGTCTTGTTTTCTGTTTATGAAAGTTAGGTACAAGGAAAAAAAGCAGCAAAATATGAATTCACTGTTGAAAATAGATGGACTTAGAGTTATCATTTCCTGAGTGAGTAACACACTCTAATAGCAGCTGGTATATTGCCTAGATATAACTCCCATCAAAATGTATGCAACACATGATTTGGCAAATATGCCACTGTATTTTGTACCACACAGCTTTATTGATATTCTTGCCCATCTTATGGATGTAGTTAAGGATATTTTTATTTTGGCTTGATTTAATTTTTAAAAACTATTCCCACTGTAACTGGGAGTATAGGTTTGTATTTTTTTCCTTTGTGTTTTATAGAATGCTTTCATTGCACTGTGATAGCTAAATTGATAATTTTCCTTTGCTGTAAGAACATTATCATCTGAGTTGTAAGTAGTGTTTATCTACAAGCTGAGCTGAAAGCACACTGTAGTTTATTCTCTCTAAATATCAGTCTGTACATAGCAGAATGCCATGGGGTTTCCTCTGCCTCATAGGGAAATGTTAGAGTTAACTAAAAAATGGTGTAAAAATTAGACTGCATGAATGATACATTTGCATTTTGGTGTGTTTCTTAGTGTCATTTCTGACTTTTTCACAAATTTTAGGGGCTGCATTTAAATATTTAAGACTTAATTTTCAAAATTCCCATCTTCCCTCATCACGGGCTAAACATTAACATGATGTGGTGTTGGGCCTAAGAAAGGCTAGGATGCGAGGCCCAGTGTAGGCTCCTGAGCCTGACTTGAGTTTGGTGACTTGTCTCTGACCTGTAACCCCCACGTAGGGGTGACTCAACCTGACCTGATGCAAGATTGCCCCCTGCCTAGCTACCTGCCTGCTTGGTGGAATACTATTGGCCTTTACTCCTCACGTCACCTTACCCTATCCCAAGTTTCCCATCCCCTACCTCAGTCCTATATAAGTTCCTGCCTGTTGGAATAAATCTGAGATCCTGCTTCGACAGACTCCCGACTCAGTGTGTATTCCCCTACCCCCCCCAAGGGGGCAGGGTCTGAGTAGACACTCACCATCCTTGCTCTACCTGCAGGGAGGCCCCTGCAATGTGGTAGGTTGGAGAAGGGTGACACCTGGCGGCTCATTCCAATCCATCACAGTTGGTTGCAAAGAGGTGGGGGAAAGGACATATCCCCAAGGTAAAGTGTTGATCAGGGGCTAGTGGAAGCAGCAGTTCTCATCTAGAAAAACATCAGGTGTGTTGGGCATGCCTGTCATCCCAGTGTGAGGGAGGTGAACGCAGGAGCATCAGACGCCAGCTTATTCTCAGGGAGTTGGAGGCCAGCCTGGGCTACACAAAACTTTCTTAAAAGAACAAATGATAAGAGGTTGTGTGTGTGTGTGTGTGATGAAGATATTTTTAAAGAGAAAGTGCATGAAATTTATAGAAAACAGAATTGTGTACTGGATACTGGAAAGGCTGGTATTCTGAACTGCTAACAGGAACAGACTGCAAACAAACAACCCAGTGATCTCCAAGGCTCCTTCAACAGTGGGAGGTCCACTCAGGAAGCACTTCCTCAAGTGCTGCAGTGAGAAAAGTCGGGTAGCTCTTTACTGTCTTACAGCACTCCTCATCCTGCCCTCCCCAGACACATTTCAGACAAATTGTTGCAGGTACAGTGCCAAATTTTGTCATGGTGTTACTTTTAAGCCAATATCTATGAACAGTTTTAAGCATGAAAGGTGTGTGGGCTGACTGGCATATAACTTGGTAGTGACTAATCCCTACCCTTTTCAGTAATGCACTGTTTCAGGACTCCAAGAGCCAATTTTTAGAAAGCATGGGTGCTTTGATATATGCATTCACTTAGATATTACTGAGCATCACCTGATCATGCCCTGCCCAGCATGAATTCTGATGGCGCAGGCCTGCTGTTTGTTATTAACTGCCCAAGGTAGAGAAAGAGAAAAATAGTGTTTTGAGGAAAAGCTTCTCTATCTCCCTCCTTATTTGCATTAATAAGAATTTGCAGTCCCAGGAACATCTTTTGTGGAATGAGTGTTTTCTAAAACAAACTCATTTTCTGTACTGAGAATCAAACCCAAGGCCTCACACATGTCAAGAAAGTACTCTCCCACTCCCCAACTTTTTGTAAAATTAAAATACTTACTGGATGCTGGGCTGTTCTCACTGCTAATTTCTCCAGAGTTCTATGAGGAAGGGCCTTTTGGCAGTGTTAGCTTTTATTTCAATGTTATGAAAATCCATGCATGGGGTTGAAATTTCTTGTTAATAGCTAGAAAATTATTGTGCTGGAATTTTAATTCAGCTCATAACTACTATAAGACTTATCTCCATGCCAAGAAGGCCGGTGGTGGAACACTGTTGCCATTTATTGACAAACTATGTAAGGAATTGCCAGTGCTACCTGATAGCAGACTTTGCATGTCTTCTGTAGTGAGAAATAAATGTGCTGTAACATTATCAGAAATATTTCCAAACGTTTTTTCTAAATGTGTTTTTAATTCATATTTAGCTGGGGTGGGTAACAAGAAACAGGAATTAAAAACCTTCAATTTGGTCAGAATACTTTATCTATTTTGAAAATATACTATTCTATACTGGCTCCAGTATAGGTTTAAAGAGACACCTGGTACTAGGGAAATGTTCAGAGATCCACAAAGATGACCCCAACTAAGAATCTAGACAGTAGTGGAGAGGCCAACTTTGATGCACTTCCCCTATAATGAGATTGATGACTACCTTAATTGCCATCTTAGAGCCTTCATCCAGTAGCTGATGGAAGCAGAAGCAGGCACTCCGCACTCAGAGCTAAACAGTGCACGATACTCCTGGAATCCAGTTGTAGAGAGGGAGGAGGGATGAGCAAAGGAGAAACCCTACAGAAACAGCTGACTTGACCTAGTGAGAGCACAGGGACTCCATTCGTAAAGCTGAGGAGCCAACATTGGACCAAACCAATCCCTCTGAATGTGGGTGCTAGTTAGGAGACCTGGGCAGTCTATGGGACCTCTAAGAGTGGATCCAGTATTTATCCCTAGTGCACAAATGGACGTTGGGAGCCCATTCCCTAGGCAAACTTCCTCAACCTAGATATATGGGGGAGGGCTTAGGCCCTCCACCAAATGATGTGACAGACTTTGATGATCCCCCATGGAAGGTGTCACTATTCTTGGGGAGTGGGTGAGGGGTGGGGTAGGGGGTTGTTGGGGGGGCATGGAAGGATGAGAGGGAGGGGGAACAGGGTGGGATTGATATGTAAAATAAGACTGTTTCTAATTAAAAATCAAAAAAGTTTACTAACTGTGATATTTAATTTTAGATTTTTTTTCTTCTGTGTGTGTGTTTTGCCTGCACTAGTGGCACCTGTGGAAATCAGAAAAGGGTGTCAGATTCCTGGAGCTATCCACGTGGGTGCTGGGAACCAAACCTGGAACCTCTGGGAGATTATCAAATGCTCTTAACTTCTGAGCCATCTCTCCTATCTCATTGTTAAATTAAAATTTGGAAGTCCCAAACCAACAATAAACCCACATCAAAAGCCAATGCTACCTGCTCTTCTGTGGTTTTTTTTTTTTATATTATCCTTTTTTGACATCACTAATTTTATCACAGGCTTCACCAGAACCCTGTAGGCTTGGTAATGACCTTAATCAAGTATTAGCCCTATGCTGTAATCCCCAGATCTACAAAACGTTTTTTTCCAAAGCGGAGCAAGCCATGCTGTGATTAGTAAGGGCTAGGAGGGAAACAAACTTGGAACCAATATGTACAGTCTTCGTGTCTTTATAACGAAGGAGGTGGAGTCACTAGGTGTCTGTCTTGAAATGAGGAATTATGAAGTCTACAACTAGGAGGCTCAATTTAGATGCTTTTAAAACGTTTTTGTCTTTACAAAACTACCGGCAAGAGGTGTTCTCGGCATATTTAAGTCACCGTTTTGGATGTTTTACTTGAGTCCACACAAGGGAACTACGAGGTAATTTAATAGCAAGATGGAAATAAAAAGCACACGTGAAATGTACTAGATACCTACTTTGCGCAATAGCACGAACATGCCTTTCATTTTGCGCAAAAAAAAAAAAAGATGAAAAACAAAATTGAATGTTTTCCGCGAGATTGAAATCTGTACTTCATGACACACCGCCCAAAATAGCTGGGATTGCTAGCCAATCAAAACCTTCAGTTATAATAACTCCTCCTGTTTGCTCCACCCTCCTTTAAGAGCCTGATTCGAAAGCCACGCCTAACGCCTGTGGTTTTCAATTAGGTCCGCAAAAGGTCTATTTAAAGGGAAGCTTAGCTTTTGTGAGTATCATTTGCTACCATCATGTCTGGACGTGGTAAGGGCGGCAAAGGTCTTGGTAAAGGAGGCGCCAAGCGTCACCGCAAAGTCCTCCGTGACAACATCCAGGGGATCACCAAGCCCGCCATCCGCCGCCTGGCCCGCCGTGGCGGAGTCAAGCGCATCTCCGGCCTTATCTACGAGGAGACCCGCGGGGTGCTGAAGGTGTTCCTGGAGAACGTGATCCGCGACGCGGTCACCTACACGGAGCACGCCAAGCGCAAGACCGTCACTGCCATGGACGTGGTCTACGCGCTCAAGCGACAGGGCCGCACGCTCTACGGCTTCGGCGGTTAAGCCATTGTTACGTTTTCTCTATTGTCGCAAAAGGCCCTTTTCAGGGCCACCCACAGACTCAACAAAGAGTTGTTGCACGTTTTCCGTGCTTAATAGCAGGACCTGATGGAAGGCGGTACGCGAATTTCGCATAAGTGATCTCTGTCGTAGAGCTGTGAGGGGATGACCATAAATTTGAGAATTTTCTATATTGCCTCTTATGGAGTTTGAGTGCTGTTAGACTGTGAAACACTTGAATATGAGAGTGTAACAGGATTACGAGCCCATCTATTGTCTGAAATTTTGACACTTGGATGCACTACCATAAAATTCTAACCTTGAAAGGTTACCAGGTTACATCTTAGAACTGCCTTGTCAAGTGTGTGGCGCATATTCTGGTAACCATCCTCTAAATTTCGAGCTCAGGACGGGGCCATCTTTTCTAAGAAGGGCAAGGATTGGCTCTACAACGTTGATGTTAAATGTTTAACCACTGTGTGAATAAGGCTAAGTACACATCCTTTATTGGGGAGGGCCATTCTATACACGAACTGCATAGTTGCGCGATGGCTTTATATCATTTTAAGTTCTCGTGTGTGTGCCACGTTTGTTCAGATAAAGAGGGCGTCAGATTCCCCGGAAACGAGTTGCAGTTGTGAACCATCTGTTGTGAGTTCTGATATCCAAGCTCTGGTCTTCAAGAGCATCTTGACTAAATCTCTCAAGCCACCCTGCTATGGTCTTTTGTCACTCCTCAAGCCAAGGCCTAAAATAGATGAATATGAAGTTAATATTTGTGGCGCTCCATAAGGCATAAAACCATTTTCCTAAACGAATGGGGTTCTTATTTTTTAATACTTTCCTTGTCAGTCTCATGAAACCTAGGTTATTTTCATAAAATATACAAACCATTTCAACTCTATTTGGCCAAAGTGGCAGCTACTACTGAACTCTACTTCTGTCCTTGATATGGTGGCGTTTCCAGGATAAAATACGCCTTTGGCAAGTTTATGCTAATCAGAAAGCACTAATATGCAATCAAATCTGTAAATAGGCTATGCCTAGGGACCTCCCGACGTTTTAACTCCAGGGTTTAGAAGACAGATTCACATGAAGCGACTGTCCACCTCGTTAACTTTTGTTTAAAGTGTTTTGCCATTTTAAAAATTATGGAAGTGGCTCTTAAAAGAGCCTTTGGGTTTTTTTTTTAAACTGGCTTTGAAGCTCACTTCTTTGCTGCTGCCTTCCTCGGGTCGGTCTTCGGCAGGACCATCTTTGGCTTGCCAGCATTGGGGTTGGCTGCCCTCGTCTTGGCGGGGCTTTTCCGCTGCTGTACACCCTTGGTGCCTTTGGTCTTCTGTCTGCTCCCTGGTGTTTTTGTGGCGGTGGCCTTCGGCTTCTTGACAACCTTGGTCTTACTGCTCTTGGGGGATCTCGACGCCTTGGACAAGCCCAGCTTCTTAGCCTTGGCAGAAGCAGATTTCTTGACCTTACCCTTGGCGTTCTCAGGAGCCGCCTTCTTACTGAGCTTGAAGGAGCCGGAGGCACCGGTGCCCTTGGTCTGCACCAGGACCCCCTTATTCACAAGTCTTTTGAGGGCCAACTTGATACGGCTGTTGTTCTTCTCCACATCATAGCCAGCCGCAGCCAGGGCTTTCTTTAGGGCAGCAAGGGACATTCCTGCCCGTTCCTGAGACATCGAAAGAGCCTCAGGAATCAACTTGGAAACCGAGAAACCCCGGGGTTTGCGAGCAGCAGCCAGGCCAGGTTTCTTCCCTCGCCTTTTAGACGGAGGTCTCTCGACAGGAGCTGGGACAAGGCTACTCGAGGCAGCAGGAACCGTTTCCGACATAGCCAAGAATAGGTCAAGACCTACACCCAGTGAGAAAAAGTAAGAGCATCAACAGCACAGGGGGTCCTGGGGGAGGGGGGCTTATATAGAGCGGGGCGCGCTGTGATTGGTGCATCCCCTGGCAACTCCCCCGCCCCTAGAGGAGGGTCGTTTGTGTTTCTTTTCCACCTAAAAGTAGAAACTTACATATGTGCTCACTGTAAAATCGCTCAGTTTGCTTCACCAGGTGACCCAAGGGGACTCGGATTCCACCTGGCTTGTTACCTTTTATTGAGAAATGTTCCTGCATGCCAAAACTAGTGGGAAAAGCCCTTGATTTCCATCAAATTCAAGAAGAAGAAGAAAACTTTCTCTTTTCCTTGAAAATTCAAAAGTAATTTTTGGTAGAAAATGTATCCAATGTGTTCGGTGGGGTCTTCTATATGTGTGACTTCTAACTGGTGAAGAAAACCAATTATTTAGGCCCTAATTCTTATCGAAATTATTTATATATGTGACATAAGTAACACAGACGTCTTAACCGGCTCACTGTGGAATTAGACGGTGTTCCTTGAATTGTCCCCAAACTCCAGAGTGACGCCTTCTTGAAGGGAGCAGGGCCTAATAAACCCTCCACAGAGCATTTGAGAGGTATGCTAGCTGAGATCTGGTTATAAACATCTCACCAATGACATCTGTGTAGCCAAATCAGCCGACCTCAAGGGTGTTTTCCAACCGAGTTTGTCTCTGCTTTCTCCAACTGAACGCCATGAGTATCCCACTCCCTCTGCCTTACCTATCCTTAGAGGCATAGGTACAGTGCCTAGCCCTTAATTAACTATAAATTATAAAGCTGGAATCACAGTTTACAATCTCTTAATGTGGCTGGGCTGGTAGATGTGGCTCAGGAGTGTTAGAGAAACGTTCTTCTCAGAGCTTATCCATGGGACAAGTCTGGAGATAAGTGCTCACAGATTGACATGGTAGCAACATGCTTGTAATTCCAGTTCTAAGGAAACTGAGGTAGGAGGGAGGATTGCCATGAGTTTGAGGCCACCATGAGCTAAAAAAAAATGAAAACATGCCAAAAGAAGAGGAGAAGGAGAGAACATTATCTTCAACTAGGAGGAAGGTATAAAACCCAATCCATTCTGGAGAATGCTAAGACGAGGATGTAGTGTGATTATGTCAACTGATGCTGAACATGTGGCCCAATGCAGCCAGCCATTCAGCCTGAGTTCTTTCTGGAAATATCTACTCTTGTGAAATAGGGTTCTTAACTTATGCCACAGAAAAGAATTTCTGGAAAAGACAGTATAAGAAAAAGTTGATGTTTATTAAGAACAAAATTGAGGGTGGGTAGGTGCTTATGTCTTAACAGTAATTGTGTGGCTAGGTCTGGTGTGCAGACTGTAATTTAGCTACTTGTGAGGCTAGAAAAATAAGGTCCAAATTCAAATCTACCATGGGCCGAAAAGTAAGTTCACAGACAGTCTGGTCAACTTCATGAGATCCTGCCTCAAAATAAAAAACACACTGAAAACAGTGAGGATGTGTCTCAATAAAGCAAATGGTAGAACCTAGGTTCAAAGTCCAGGACTTAAGGGGAGTTGCTGGGGTTCTCATGCAGGTAGAGCAGAGGAAGGGCCAGTCCAGCAGGTCTCTTCCCTAGGCTGAGCAGGATGGTGATTGCCAAAGACTCATACTTTCCGCCCTACTAGTTACAGGGGGGAGAAAATATACACTGAGTCAGGAGACTTGTCGAAGCAGAGACAGGTTGCCAAACTCTAGGCAGGTTCAGGAGGTTACACTGGGTCTCACATCTGAGCCTTTTTAGGCCCAACAGGGTGTGTGTGTGTGTGTGTGTGTGTGTGTGTGTGTGTGTGTGTGTGTGTATGAGTGTGAGTGAGTGTGTGTGTATGTATGTGTCTGTGTCTGTGTATGCATGTCTAGTGCATGTGTGTGTGTTTGTTGTGTGAGTGTGTGTACATATTTGTATGTGGATTTGTGGGTTTTGAAGTTACATTGCTCAAACATGTTTGAAATTCAATAAAGCAGTTCAACAATTAAGTAAAATTTTATGAGGTGGTTACTTGTTTCTCTTCAAGAATTTCCTTTTGTGAATAAACTCACAGGGTTGTTTGTAAGCTGCACTGTTCAGGGTTAGGGATGAGAGGGGAGTTCTGACAGCTGTGCTCTGAGGTCACATGTGCATTGTCCTTAAGCAGTTTTCAAATTGTTGTGTTCTTGTTTGAGATGGTTGTACTGAAACTTGACTTCCAAACTGTGAAAAGCATAAACTAGACCTTGGAGTTGAGGTTGAGGTGAAGGTTCCTATGGTGGTTTGAAAGAAAGTGACCTCCAAAAGGAATGGCACTCTTAGGAAGTGTGGGTTTATTGGGTGGGTGTAGCCTTGATGGAGGAAGTGTGTCACTGTGGAGATGGGCTTTGAGGTCTCATAAATGCTCAAGCCACACCCAGCGTCTCAGACTATTTCCTGTTGCTTGCAAGTCAAGATGTAGAAATCTCAGCTTCTTTTCCAGCACCATGTCTGCCTGAATGCTACTGTGTCACAACATGAAGATAATAAACTAAATCTCTGAAATTGTAAGCCCTCCAATTAAATGTTTTCCTTTATAAAAGTTATTATGTTCGTGGTGTCTCTTCACAGCAATAAAAACTCTAAGTCAATTCCCTGTGCATGTCTCTTGAATTTCTTGTCTTTCTGTCTTTTATCACCAAAGTCCAGGATCTCAACCAAAGAAAAACAATCAAGGATATTTTATGAAAGTCCCTAAATGCTTGTATGAAAATTGTGCTGATAGTACTCTGGTCCAAGAGTCATCAGAAGTTCAAAGGTAATTAATTATTATGTTATAGTAATATATATCTAGGCTTTATATGTTTCACATAAACATCAACACCATTGCTGATAAGGACTGAGTGGGACTCTTGCAGGAACCTTAGAATTAAAAAGGCAGTGTCTAGGGGGACAGTGTGGGGAAAAGTCTAAATCTGAAATACTTCTGAAGCCAAAATTTAAGGACAAGGCATCAAATTCCTGATTGTAAGATGACAAAAACAGTCCTCCTCCCTCTCCCTCCTTCTCTCTCTCTCTCTCTCTCTCTCTCTCTCTCTCTCTCTCTCTCTCTCTCTCTCTCTCTCTCTCTCTCTCTCTCTCACACACACACACACACACACACATTTTAGAAAACAAGAGTATCTTAATAAAGTACCTGAATTCATATATTTTATTCTAGTGTATTTCATTTGGGAAAATCAAAAACAAAAAACCCTACCAGTTGGGAGTCATGAGACTGATTTCCACCTTGCCAGTGCAATGTGATCTTCCACTGTGAAAATGTGTGTGTCCCTCTGAGCACCCTATGGATTTGTTATCAGTTTGGTTTCTCTGATCCTAGATCACCTACAGACTTTCTGGACCATTAACTGTCAGTGCCATACAAGCATCAGATAGACCTTTACAGATTGACAGAGTGTATTATTCTATTGCTTTAAAAGTAACACGGAACTGGCAAATATAATGAATTCTTGTGTTCTATAATTGAAAATCTAGAAAAAGAACTTGGATGCAAATTTTGTTCCAGGCCGCTAAAAACAATCACATATGCACAAACCTGTCCACATTTGTTGTTTTGTCTCACAGTGCGGGACTATGAAGCCCAGGCTGCCCTTCCATCCACAGCCTTTTTGTCTTACCTCCTTTCTCAGTCACGGGGTTACAGGTGACCACCATCATACCTGCCTGCCCTTTCTTTTTCCTTTTCCTTTTCAAACAATACTGCTGGGGATTGAGCACAGGACCTTGCACATGACACGCATGCACTCTAGCTACACCCTTAGCCTATCTCAGTTCGTTGACCTAAGTTTTTCCCCTCAACAAGAAAAAAGGGAGGATTTATAAATGAAAATTTGTGATTTGTGTGCTCTATATTCCACAAAAAAAGGATCTTAAAGTAACCAAAAACACAAAACTAGTTACATATGTAGTGATTCACTCCCATATATCACAATTTCTAACCGTATTTACCTAATTAAAATTACATATTTGTAAGGCATTTTTGCTTTACATGATATTTTTATTATATGTACATTACATATTAACATGAATTTTCAAAAGCTTTGTTTTGCTAGGAGTATTTTAATTTTACTAGGAATATTTTAATTTTCTACTTTCTTATCACAAATTTCTACAATGAACATTTTTTATAGAATTTTGAGCCAGATGCTTATCAGTTGTTCCTCAAGTTTTGAAAATACAGCCACTAGTCTGCTAGTATCACCCATTTTCATTGTCTCATTTGTCAAAGGAAACAACATGCAGCACTGATGAGTCGTAGAAAAGATGTCAGGTCTACTCCTCCTGTAAAGAGAGAAAAAAGAGAAAGGTTAACTCACTCTAGCTGTTCTGCAGATGTCTGCTGCTCTACCTAGAGGAAAATGACAATGGGGAGTAACCTATGTTGGTTTTTCTGAGAGACAGGTAGCACTCTGAGAAGCCAAAAAAAAAAAAACATTCAGTGCATTTATTCATCACAAACACATTATGCCATAGCTACAGCTGTTCCCCTCCTGATTATAGAAGATGGAATTCAGTAACAGAGACACTGATTTTCCCAGGCGCTGTTAGATGCTGGGCCCCTGCACTGGTTTCACTAAAGGACTAATGGAATTATCCAGCTAGTGCTTGGGAGTTCTGTTTGATGGAAGCCTTCAGGGTAGGAATCACTCAGGTGAGAAAGGAGAGCGAGGGAAGTGGTGGCACTGCCCAGCTGTGGGGGCAGTATAAAGTGAGAGCCTTGGCTTGAGCAGGAGCCCAGGAGCTGCCTGTGCAGGACTGCAAGGGTCCCTCCATGAGGAAAGTGGGGGAAAGTAGTGTTTGCTATTCCCATGTGAGGCAGGCACCAAGTTTCCAGAAAACTTCATTCTCTCGAATGCTCATCCCTTCAGGCAGCTGTGCGAGAGATCACTTCCATCTTCCTTTACAATAAAGGAAACACCTAATGGAAAAGTGTCCCCCCTCAAATGCTAAGCCTTTTGGGGGGATTTTATGAAATGTTATATATTTTTCTCTTCCTCTTGACAAGTAAACAAAGGTATATCTTAAGTTATGCTTTCTCCATATCCAAGTTCAGTGCAGGAAATGTATGCAGGGTTCACATAGCAGAGAATTCCCTCTAATAGCTGTGGGCTGGCATATGAATCTGGCAGGGATTATCCAGAAGTTAAGCTCACCAAAGGACTTGTAATTGTGCCTCTCACTTGACCCATGTAACACCCAAGCCATCACTTTATATTAGAAAAATTTCATTCCATGATATACTTTGGAAGCACTTAGAAAAAAAGTGGTCAAAGCTCTTCTTTGGTGGTTTGTTACAAGCAACTGCCAGGAATAGCCTGGTGACAATAGAGGGGAGCAGGGATAAGGGAATTCTCTCTCTTTATCCAGTGAAAGGTATGCATTTTGACCCTCTCTCCTAACTCAGGTCGTGACCCCTGAGGCCCCAGAGCTCATTGTATTTCTTCAATCATGTTTGTTTTAATAAATAGAAGTATACATAATCTTTTGTAAACACAGTTGAAGAGGATTGAACTTGGGGCCTGCAGAACTGGCTCAATGGTTAAGAGTGCTTTCTTTTCAATGATGAAGATAAGAGTTTGGATTTCAGCACCTGCATAGCAAGCTGGACATTTCCACAAATGCCTCTAGCCCCAGCTCTACATAAGGGCAGGGACTCAGGCTCAATAGGAAGAGACGCTGCCTGAAAGAACTAAGCAGAGAGCGCTAGAAGAGGGCAGCCAAGTCTTTCTTCTCTCAGCTTGTATGCACAGGCATGCACATCTGTGCACATACATGTGCATAACACACACACACACACACACACAATGAATAAATATAAACAAACAACAAGAAAGGTACCAAACTAACGGACTGTGCTGCAAAGAACCTAAGCTCTCCTTTCAAGTGTTCACACTCATCTTTATATCTACTTCTCTAAATCGCACCAACAACTAAGGCAGTACAAACAATAGCAGGGAAATAAAGACATGCATTCAGAATAGTACAAAGACAAAATTAATCAGTCTGCACTTGTTTTCTAGTTTAATCCCTCAAGCATTCCTCCAGCTAACATTGTATTGTCTGAGGATTAATTGAGTAAAATTCTTAGAACCATAACTCCCACACACTATGCTTCATTTAACTACTAATTATAGCAAACATTTACATCAGTGTTCCTAGCTTTTACATTTGTGGTCATGCATAATCCTCCTTTTTCTGCTCTATCCCTTCCTTTGCCCCAGGACTTAGGTCATTCTGACATTCTGTACAACTAGAATTTGATGAACCATTACTTGCACTTTGTCTTCCCAGCTGCGGCAAAAGTTCCATGAGGGTGAGTACTTTGTCCTTTCCCCTTAAGACAGTCTATGGAGATGGACGGCTCCTTAGCAGTGAACGCACAAGGAAGGGGAAAGAGGAAAAGGCTCCGTCCTTAAATCACTCTAGGACTCTGGCTACACCTAGCCCATAGCACATGCTGCTAACTGAAAAGCCATTGAAGGGCACTTTTTAATAAGAACAGAAGGGTAAATATAGGAGGCACAGCTTACAGAAGGCATTGCAAGAACCAGACTTGAAAAACACTCAGGCTATTTTCTTCAAAGGAAGAAAACTAACTGTGCCTGGTCACCAGGAGGGCTGGAGTGGATGTTGTCTGACAACTTGGCGGTCTCTTTGCTATTCTATGGATCCTGAAACCTCTGATATCCTGAGCATTGTTTAGGTCCTAATCCTAAGCTTTATGTCTCAGTAAATAGAACCCATCATTATGAAAGAGGTCCCAAGTACTTTGCATCCTCCACCAACAGAATCTATCCTTTTGCTTATTCCAAATCCTCTTCAGACCCTTGTCCTGAGCATTGTTCATCAGTCAGTAGAACCCATTTTTATTGTAAAGGTCTCAGGTGCTTTGCCTCTTTGCTAGAAAGTCTCTATGTAACAATGCCTAAAGCTTTGCTGTGGTAATTGTCATGTGGAAACCTTTTCCCCAAAGTTTGACTGTACTTAAATGTGTAAGAAAATAAAAAGCTTCCAGAGATCAGACTCTGAGAGGTTTTTTCCCAGCACCTGCTAAGATGATGCAGCCTCTATTTTCAGTCTTTGCCTCTTGAAGATTGTATTCCTGGTGGCCATGATGCTTGCAGGGTCACCAACAGGTAAAGGTCAAAAGAAGAGGAAGACCAGGAACCAGACATGTCCTTGCTCTCCTCCCATGGAACCTTGTTTATTTCCCAAATGGGTGGGTGACTAGTTTGCATTTCTTTGTTTCCTGGGTAGTAGCTGGAGCTAACTGAAGACTAAACAAATGTGGGTAGAATGATGTGTATCACTCCCAAGCATGGTTCTCTTTCACAGAAAACCAACCACAACCACCATATGTCTGCTAGCCTGTGATGTCTGGGACCCAAGGGCATCCAAGACGCAAAGTGGAATGTGACATTCTTCTTGAAGGTCTATGGCACAAACTCTATCTCTTCCTCATGATCACACTTCTTGTATTGGAGTCATAAGCATCTGGTGTTTCCCACTAAGTTTCAAAAGCTTGTGGATGTGGCAGCACGTACTGTTTACCTCAGTTTGACCTGATATTTATGGATGGAAACAAATTCAATATTTTCATCCAAAGCAATACAGACTTCCCATTATTCTGTCGTGGCTGGCCATTTTCTAGTCAGTGATTACAAATCCTGTCCCCCACCAAACTCAAGCATCTTCACGTTTCTGCACCTTAGCTGGCTTCCTGAAGAGTCCTAGAGAGCAGGACCACATAGGCAGATTCTCAGTAGCTTATCCATATGCTCCTCTGCTCACAGACCTATTTCTCAGCCTGCCATTGTTTGCTTCTCCAGGATGCTCAGGGTCCCTCAGATTAGCTCTTTTTCATCCTTCTTGGGTTCCCTGTCCCAATTTCTGTTTTTGTTCACTTATATCCCCATACATGTAGATCTGTATTTGAAGTGTAGATACATTTTTAAAATTTATTGGAAAACTGGATCCATTTTCATGTGGGTGTGCCTACTGGGTAGCAGGCTGAGTGATCTGTTCTAGGAATATTGTGATAACTAAACCAGAGGACAGAGTCTACTTAGGTTACAGACAAGTAATGACAGTCTGAATTGCACAATGTTGTACAGAATCATTGGAAAGGGGCGGTTTAGATGCCTCCCAGGCAGGAAGTGGCCACACAGATGCCTGCAGAGAAGACACTTGGAAGAAGATACCTGGAAGAAGAAAGACACTTTGCAATCCTACATAATTAGTTATGGTCCTTCTGGAAGGTGGGTACTATCACAATTATCCCTAAGGTACAGGTGAAGATACTGAGGCACAGAAACAGTGGGTGACTTGCTTAAAAGTCTCCCCATGAGCACATGAAGCCTGGGAATTAAATTTCAACCCCACAGGATTCCCCTTTTTCAACAAGGAACAATGCTTGGCCACAATTTTACCGGTGTAAAGCAGTAGTTCTCAGTTCAGAGTTCTTCATTAGATGTTTCAGTCAGTCCTCATCCCATCTTTTTTCAATACCTCAAGGACATTCAGGTAATTATTAGCACACATTTCTTTGTGTGTTGACTCTAGGCATAAACTACCACCAATATCCCCAGCAGTTTTTATATGGGTCCTGAAAATTGAACTTTGGTTTTCATATTAAATGCAGAAAGCACCTTATTGATGGAATTATTTCCTCAGTGCTCTTTTCAAAATAATTTCTAAAGAATCAATTACAAGTAGACAGTTCCTGGAAACTCAAATACAACCAATTATTTTAGTATCCTAACCTTTGCAGATGGGAGGGAAATTGCTGTTACCAAGAAATAAAGGAGAAACCCCCACAAATAGGTTTTGGATCTAAAACTTACTCTGGTAAAGAACTGATCTTTGCATTAAAATATGAGGATAAATTCCAACTACATAAAAAGTAAGCAGGGGCTGGGCGGTGGTGGCACATGCCTTTAATCCCAGCACTCAGGAAGCAGAGGCAGGCGGATCTCTGTGAGTTCGAGGCCAGGCTGGACCGACAACCTCCAAAACAATACAGAGAAACCCTGTTTCGTAAAATAAAAAAAAAAAAAAAAAAGTAAGCAGGGACAGTCTCACTTCAGAGTCTTGGGTACTAAAATGAATTACTGTATTACTTAAGACTACTTAACAACTTCCTTAAAACTGGGAGTAAACATAACCATTATCTTATATCCTTATTTGTTTTCCTCTGTAGCTAGGGAACGTGGCAGAAATTAAAGACAGCCCTTAAATGAAGCAAGCAATTGTGTTTCTTTATTTATACACCAACAAGCCCCAATCCCAAACCTGTCTGGACCTCTAGACCTATGGTATATCTCTATTATCTTTGAGTACTACAAATTTAAAGTAGCAAAGGCTACATTGGAAGCACAGTACTTTCTAATTTGTTAAGCAATACTCATTATAGCCTGTGTTGAGAGTTACACAGAACAATTGCCAGTGGCCATGTCAGAGGAGCTCTAGTCAGCAATGGAGTTTATGGGAAATAGCCCAGAGGATTGCAAAGCTACTTTGGGTGCATCCTGGAGAGGCAAAGCCCCCTGGAGGATTGTTTCCAGAATCCCCCTTGCTTCTGTTGTGCTTCCTGAATCTGTTTGCTGCTGCCGTACTCTTGCTGTCTTTGGCACAGTGTATTTACTATGTGAAGGGATCCTACTGCATCTAATATAGTGCGATTGCTTCCTGGGATAATCCTGCTCCTCATTGGGCAATTTACTTACTGATCATAACAAAGATGATTTTTATAAGAGTAATGATGATTAGTTAGACCTATGACTTAATTGAACTTTCTGAGTTAGCCTAAAAGATACAGGTGCTTAAGACAGTAATGATGATTAAGGAAATTGTTTAGGTTATTCTGCCAATTGCTCCACTAAGAGATACAAAAACAGACAGAAATAGGCTAGAAGTCACCTTCCCCTCTGTTCGATTTGAAATTTGTAGAAGATAGAAAATAAGAACAGGGAAGTTTCATACATTATAAATCCACGAATTCTGCCTGTGGAAAAACAGGCTGATGATTAAAGAAAGCAATTATGTCCTTACACCCAAGGCTTGGCCCGAGTTCCTTGATCATGTAACTTACTGAAGGAAAGAAAAATAGATGTGTAAAGAAAAATAGATGGTTAGCTGACCACTCACATAAAGTTTCTCTAGAGTAGAAAATAGAAATCTGCTACAATAAAACCACAAACAGCTGCCTGCCAATACAAAAGGAACTGGTTGAAATATACTCAGCTTGTTTAAAACTCGTTAATCAATAATAAAAGAATCATTGCTATGGGGTAAAGATGCTATGGTGGGGAAATTAATGCAAAGAAAAATATTTAACTACTGTGAGCTTCTAAGGAAAACATGTCACTTGTGATCTTAATATGATTTCTTATATAGATTTTAATTTGTTGTTGAAAATATGTAACTTATGGCTATGAGGTAATCTTTTCTTGCATAGAAATCTTTATCTTAGGTGGCATAAAAGGAATAAGAAACAATAGGAGAAGATATAGAAGGAAAAACATCAGGAAAGAAGTAGAAGGGAACCATCAGGAAAGAAATAAAGGACAACATTAGAAAAGAGATAGAAGGAGAACAACTGGGAAGAGGAAGGGAAGCATCAGGGTCAAAGAACAAAACAGAGAAAGAGTAGAAAAAAGAATATCCAGCAGGGAGGAAAATAAAATGAGGAAGTAAACTTTGGCCCTCAGAAAAAGTCTCCTGTGTGTGTCTGTGTCCCATGACCTGCTGAGGGAGCCTGCTGGGGATTAGGCCCCTAGGCAGCAACAAGCATTTCAATGTCTTGCATTTTGTAACTTCTAAGTTAAATATAGTATCCAATGACGAAGTATTCCATTTAATAGTCACCTAAGTTCTTAATGCAATTATTTGCCTGTGAATTGTTTTCAAGATGACATGTTGAATCCTTATCATGTTATGCAATTTTTTCTATTTAAAAAATTACTTTATGATTTTATTTAGTTCAACATAAGTTAGGTTTTTTATATTAAAAAGTGATTTTATTAAACTAAATAAATCAAGTGGGAAAAGTTGGTAAATTTAAGATAGTCTTCTTTCCTTATAAAATAAGCCCTAGACTTCAGTAAATGTGACTATCATGGTAACAATTTTACATTATGATAAAAGATCCATCTAAGCACAATTAAGCCAGAAGTCAAACTATTAAATAAAAAAGTGCAAGCCGGGCGTTGGTGGCGCACGCCTTTAATCCCAGCACTCGGGAGGCAGAGGCAGGCGGATCACTGTGAGTTCGAGACCAGCCTGGTCTACCGAGCGAGTTCCAGGACAGCCTCCAAAGCCACAGAGAAACCCTGTCTCGAAAAACCAAAAAAAATAAAATAAAATAAAATAAAATAAAAAAGTGCAAATGCAATTATGAATGTGAGGCCACACCTTACATTATAATTCATTCATTTCTTCCTGAGATAGACAATGTGCTCAAAGTTACTTATGTTCCTAATAGGAAACATTCACAGTAATTGGGCAAGTTAGGAGTTAAGTAGGATTAAAAAAAAGGGAGGACTGACGGTTGGTGAACGCAGGCATGGGTATCTATTTTATGTCAGAGATCCTGTGGGGAGCAGGAACAGGAATATTTCAGGATAGGAGTACTCCTATAGTCCTGTTTCAAATTTGATAGACAACTGCTATGCCACATCCCTTATAATAAACTCACTAAGGTTAAAGTAATATTGTTTTATACATAGTAGAAGCAATCTTTCTACCTCAGCATGTGACAAGCAGGCATGGAATTACCAAATCACAGATTTCAGAGGTTTTAAGACAACATACTGTTTCACTGATTTTTTTTTTCTTGTCTGGAACTGTCCTGTTTGGGTCTATGCTCCATTAAAATTCAAATTACTGGAGGTAGCTATTTTATATTTACATTCTCTTTCACACAGTTGAGCAAACTGACAACAATCTGAATTCATACAAACACTACACATCACAACACACACACACACACACACACAGTGGCACACAAAGTTTTGAAGGAGATTTAAAAAAAAATTAAAAAATGAATCTCACCAAAGGAGAGATCGAAAATCACCAACTCTGAGCTGTTATAGTGCCAAACTCTTCCAACCCCGAAACCATTTATACCCTTTTGAGCCAGATTTGTGCTATTTGACACCAATTTACCCAAATGAGAACCATTATAAGCAGGAGAGCTGTGCAAGAACAAAGCTGCAGCATGAAGAGGAGACTGAAACGCCGGAAGGTGGAGGGGCTCCCCACAGTAATGGCTTATAATGTAGATTATCTAGCAAAGCTTCTAGAAATAAATGGTGTAAGGGGAGATTAGCATGGTATCGACTTGATCAAGGGAGACAAACATCCTCCAATGGTCACCGGGTACTATCCGGTCTCTATTGTCTCCCTAATCTGTCACCCTTGCTCAATAACTACGTTCCTTCTGGAGAACTGACACCGGAAATGACGTTTACCACAAGGCTCTGAAAGTGAAAAGCCGTACTTCTCCACTCCAAACACAGCTAACAAAGCATTTGCAATATAATGAAATTATGAAAGTTTCCCATAGCCTTGGCCCTCTAAATTTCAAGTTCAAGTTTCTTAGTTTTTGGCTGAATCTTAAAAACAAGCCTGAAAGCAGTTTGGTCACAACTCTTTCTGGAAAAAGTGGTGGCTCTGAAAAGAGCCTTTGGAGTTCTTAAGCTTACTTGGATGTTCATTTCACTTGGAGCTTGTGTACTTGGTGACGGCCTTGGTGCCCTCGGACACGGCGTGCTTGGCCAGCTCCCCAGGCAGCAGCAGGCGCACAGCCGTCTGGATCTCCCGGGACGTGATGGTCGAGCGCTTGTTGTAATGCGCCAGGCGAGAAGCCTCGCCCGCGATGCGCTCGAAGATGTCATTGACGAACGAGTTCATGATGCCCATGGCCTTGGAGGAGATGCCGGTGTCGGGGTGTACCTGCTTCAGCACCTTGTACACGTACACGGAGTAGCTCTCCTTGCGGCTGCGCTTGCGCTTCTTGCCGTCTTTCTTCTGAGCCTTGGTGACGGCCTTCTTGGAGCCCTTTTTCGGGGCGGGTGCGGACTTCGCTGGCTCAGGCATCTTCGGATCTCCAAATACCGGAAGCTCAATGTGGGTTTGAATTGGAAGTCTCCTACTTATAGGGCGTTTATGCTAATAAGGTATTTCGAATGAGTCTTAGCTAATTGGAAGAAGAAAGGGCGGCGGCTTCGTGGGTGGAATTATGTAAATGAGGTTTTGAGACACCGATTTTCTATTGGCTACATCTCTAGCCCTCTTGTAACCAATCAAATAGTTGCTTTCACTACCCAGGAACCGACTATAAATACAGCCATATCTTACGCAGTTAACGAATTCAGTGGTTTTTGCTACTTCCTCTTTCTTACTACCATGTCTGGACGCGGCAAGCAAGGCGGCAAGGCTCGCGCCAAGGCCAAGACCCGCTCCTCCCGGGCCGGCCTGCAGTTCCCCGTGGGCCGCGTGCACCGCCTTCTCCGCAAGGGCAACTACGCGGAGCGGGTAGGCGCCGGCGCCCCGGTGTACTTGGCGGCCGTACTGGAGTACCTGACGGCCGAGATCCTGGAGCTGGCTGGCAACGCGGCCCGCGACAACAAGAAGACTCGCATCATCCCGCGCCACCTGCAGCTGGCCATCCGCAACGACGAGGAGCTCAACAAGCTGCTGGGCCGCGTGACGATCGCTCAGGGCGGCGTCCTGCCCAACATCCAGGCGGTGCTGCTGCCCAAGAAGACCGAGAGCCACCACAAGGCCAAGGGAAAGTAAATTAGACAACCAACTGTCAACACTTTGCAAACTTCTGAGCACAAAGGCTCTTTTCAGAGCCATCACTGTTTCAGAGAAAGAGTTGAGCAAATATATTTGAGGATCTACCCCAACCTTTACTGTAGACTTTAGGTAGGAGAAATTGGTTTGAGATTAAAGTATAAGCTCCGGAGAACGTAACCGGAAGTCAGAGCTAAGGTCTCTTACCAGAATTTCGACTCCCGAGCACTAAAATGATAACCTGTCTGGAGGTTCTCTTTTAACTTAGTGTTGTTGACCTACCACCCAATACATTCATGGGACTGCAATGAGTGTTAATGAATTTAAATATATTTCTCAGTTTACGAAAAGCTAATGAGAGTTGGCGCCCTCCGGCTTCCCAAAAAACAACGGAAATGGAGGTTATCTGGAGCCTTATGGAAACTCCCAGCTCCATTCTTCTGGTCTCTTGTGCTCATCATCTTTTCCTCAGGATAATATGACTTGTCACTGAATAGGAAATGAGGACCAGTGAAGCCCAGTGGACAAGGGTGGCATATGCAGTTACTAGGGGGGCCAAACTGAAGCATTGAGGATGAGACCATTAAGTTCCTACATTTCGAATCCACATACGAAGTAGAAGTGTGGTGGATTTATTGTTTTTGTTTTTCTGTTTTTCCTTTTTATTCCAGTCAGGATTTCTCGGTGTAGTCCTGATTGGAACTCTCTTTGTAGACCAGGCTGACCTCAGATATCTGCCTGCCTCTACGTTCCAAGTGCTGGGATTAAAGGTGTGGGCACCATGCCCAGTTTAGTGTTGTATTTTGGGGCTTGTTTTGTTTTGTTTTGTTTTGGTTTGGTTTGGTTTGGTTTGGTTTTGGTTTTTCGAGACAGGGTTTCTCCATGTTGTTTTGGAGTCTGTCCTGGAACACAATCTGTAGACCAGGCTGGTCTTGAATTCACAGAGATCCGCCTGCCTCTGCCTTCCGAGTGCTGGGATTAAAGGTGTGCGCCACCAATGCCCGGCTACTGTTGTATTTTTAATCCAAGTAGAAGCTGGTCCTTGCTGTCTTGAGATACTGACTGATGTCTGAGGAAGCAGACAGCTTCTACTTTTTCCCTAGCAGGCATTCTGAAAGGAAAATAATTGGGCACCCAGAAACTTTGAAGACAAGGCAGGAGAAAAAGGATCACCTTGACTGCTGTAAATTTGCTGTCTATAACCAAACAACCCTAAATGTCCCTAATTTTGGAAGCTAAGTGGGGTGGTGTCTGGTTATTATTTGGATGGGAGACCACCTAGAGATATCTGTGCTCAAGGCTTTAAAAAAGCAATTAAAAAGAAGAATAATTTGAGTTGTTTGGTTTTGAGTGAAACAGATCTCACACAACCCAAGCTGTCTGAGTACTCCCTACATAACTAAGGCTGGTCTTGAACTCCTGAGTTTGCTGCCACCATTTCTTAAATGTTAAGAATACAGGTGTGTGTCAATATGCCACCCTGAGGATGAATGGAGTTTTTTTGTTTGTTTGTTTGTTTGTTTGTTTGTTTGTTTGTTTATGCGTGGTCTCCTGTGCCCATGGCTGGCCTCAAACTTGCTAGGTAGCTGAGAAAACTTTCTGGTCATCTTCACTCAAGCTCCTCAGTGCTGAAACTACAACTGAGCATCACATGCTTGCTTCCAAGATGGTAAGAGAGTTCTTTCTCACAAGCTAGGTTTGTCTGGTCTCACTGTGCATAGCATATTATGAGGTGAGGCGTCCAGCTCAGCATTCCTTCAGATTTGAGAACCTGGATCCATGGATCTCACTTCATATGAACCTTGGAATCATTTTCATTTCCTTTGCCAAGTTCCCTTTGAACACCAATTTCCCAGGGGTGAAACTTTGATTAAGGTTTTGTTCAAGGTCTCCCTGACTCAATATTTCTGTATCTTTCTCTATCTTTGCCATGGGGAAAAAAACAAAAACAAAACACAAATTCTGTGGTTTGTGCCCTGAGATTAAAACAGCAAGGCTGATCAAGATGGCTGGTTAAACACCACTCTATGACAGTCACGTGTGAACTCCACCCATATTAACCCCTGTAAGCCAACAATAAAAAACAAGCTCCATTGCTATTATAGTTGCTTTGATGAAGAACAGAGGAATAGAGTTGAAAGAAGTTAACTAAGTCTCCAGGCTTAGAAAGCCAGCACACCAAATGCTTAGTTATTCTATAACCATCATTGTCTAAGATTATTATGAGAAAAATTGAAATAGTACAAAATAATGGGTGGGTGTTGCTATATAGAGGAGTATATAACAAAAAAGTTAGTTAGTGGCATCCTAAACTCTGTGAAGAACTTAAAGAAAAAAAAGTTTCCCCCAGAATCTACATAAAGGGAGAAGGGGTTAAAACTTGACATGTGTTGACATGCTGAACCCTCAATGGGGCCAGCATCATTCGGAGTAAAAAAGCAAAACAAAACTTAATATTAAGGGAGAATGGCTTTCAGGAGCTATAGGACCTGTTTCCACGGACGGCTTAGGAGATAAAATAGAGAAAACTTAAGATTTGAATTCCTTGTTCTGGGTTCCCAAAACAATGTATTTGAACATTTGCTAGTGAATGGATACACCATGAACTTTGTTAACCTTTTTGTTTTCATCTTCAGTCAAGGACTCAACTTGTTAAATTGTAAATACTCAGCATGGGGACACAAATAGACACTTGATTTTAAAAAAAAGAAAGCCACCAAGTGACTGTTGAAATGAATGCATCAGAGAGTGGGCAAGCCAGAAAGCATTTGTTCTAGAGGGTCAGTATACTACCAGGGAAGACAATAAGTACACATAAAGCTTCTAATAGCACTATCTTTTCCAGTAGATCATGCTTTGTAATGATCTGATTGTGTAGGGTGCTTGAGAAATCAAGACGAGAGTAGTACAGCTCTGACTGTGGAAGGGCAGCCAAGAACAGTCTACCAAGCACAGAGCATCCCATACAGCCCTGTCCCAGCTCATCTCCAACATGGTGCTTTGCCTTCTGTTTTGCATTGTCACTATTTATATCTCAAAATTCTGCTTATTGCTGGACAGAATTCTCTAGAGCACTGAATACCTGGCAGTTTCAGCTGGTCTTCAGGGCTTGTGCAGATATTCACTAATTTTTTTCTCAAGGGTACTGGGGAAGTCTCTATAGTGGGGCACATTGATAAAAGTTACTATTCCTCCTGGCTTCCTACATGGGGAAGGTACTTGAGCACCAGAGACAACATTTATCTTAGGATTTTAATCAGACATAAGACTGAGGTGAAGTCATCATTTGTTTGTTTTTTTTACATATCCAGAACAAAAGTAAAGCAAAAATAATAACAGTATCAACAATTACTCTTCCTTTACATTTCCCAATAATCTGTGGACAGTAATATCTTTTTCCTGACTCTCTGCCATTGCCACTCACCTGTATTTACACTTGGAAATTATTAGTAATAAATCAATCTCTGTTTTTAAATAACAAGTACATAGAACTATTATGACATTCAGAGGAACTAGAATATGTCATGAAGTCTTAAAAATAAGCTGAGTTGTCAAAACAGTAAAATCAGATTTTCCTTGTTCCCTGTGACAACGTGAGGACTTTGATAGTAGTTTGGCAATGATGAGGGAGTAGTTTGGCATTGATGAGGAAATCCATATTTTGTATAATTTAGAACTTAATGCACATTGCTATTGTTGATACTCTTTCTGCAGGAAGCAGGGATGACATGAGACAACAGCTCTTACCTTAAATAGAAAATGGGATCCTTTATTCTAGAGCCAAACTTGAGTGACCATGACCTGAGAACACAAATTTAGGTTACCCCAAATTCTGCATTCCAGCATATAAACATTTTATTGATGTTTTATAGCTTTACAGAACAAATAAAGTCTTAATTCATAGACTGATGAGTACATCGGAGGAGTGGTTACAAGACCAGAGGAGCTTTTCTATAGATTTCAGATGTTATTTGATGACAGTCTTAGCATTTAGACAAATGAATGACAGTGGTCTGGTAAGTTAATAGATTTCAATTTTTTTTATATGTTAGTCACAAGATGTTAGTTCAGACACAGAAGTAGGCAAGGAGTAACTATTCAGGAGGCCAAGGCAAGTCCAAGATGAGATGATTAGTTGGAGTGAAAATATTCTGACCTCTTCATATGACTGATTAGTCAACCAGTCTTTGTAGACACAGTTTCTTTCCAAGAATTCTCACTGACAGTTCCTCCCTTTGTCCAAGAATCGCATTTTGTGCATGTGGCAGGCTGCATGTTATTTATTAAACATTATAAGTTCTTTTGTGGCAAGTTCATTCCTAGGATCGGATGTAGATAAGGCTAAGTAGTGGGCAGGACAAGTCTTCAGGAGAGAAAAGCTTGTAAAAGTCATAAGAAAGAAATTCCTAGATCATAATGAAACTCTTAGCCATCATGATATTGACCTTTTTTTTTCCTATAGGTAGGCCATCTGCCTCTGACATAACATTTACATGTGGCATATAATAGGGATTATGTTGCCTGAAGTTAAAATAGTCAAGAACATGGTTTAACCTAATGGAGTGATGAAGGAAAGATATACTTAAAACAACAAAAATGTACATATCTTTTAAAATATATTAGCTATGTGTTTTCCCCTATATCGACAGTTATCTGTACTCTATGTGTGATTCTACTTACATTTAAATGAGTAGATATGGGACTCTGCAAGAAGTCACTGTAATGATGTCCATTTTTTCTTTTTAATTAGTAAAATACAAATATTGTTTCATTATTTTTAATCCTGACTATGTTATAGTACATCTTAGATATTAATTTAATCAATAAATGTCAGTACTTAGGTATGAAAAATTATTAGTGTTGTTATTAGAGATTGATGGCTTTTGTATAATTTGAACAAGAAGAGCTAGCCCAACTTTAGGTAGAGTAAAAGGATTTAAAGTTTAACTAAAACCTAAAATTTTTTTTGTTTTATCAAACTAGACTGAACAATGAATGAGTCTAAATAGATACACACGTATATATGAGGCAGTGAAAACACTTGAATCTTTTAAACATTAAAACT